CGCGCGCGCGCGTGTGTTTAACTTAACGTCAAAACCGATTTGCACAGAGCCGACGAAGTCGAGCGCGCATACACACACATATATATACACACAGCGAGCGGCGTCCCGCTTATCTTGATAAAGAATAATGGAAAGAATAAACGAGTGACGGGACTGCTCGCGCGCGTCTCGCTTTTCTCCGCACCAGAGCTTCGCTTATATATATATATATTTCTTCACAAAAGTTGTAATATCGGATTAACCGAGCGGGATTAAAAAGCCAAGAAGGAGAGAACGGCGCAAAGCAAGAGAGCGCGCGCGCGCGCGCGACAAGCTTCTCATTTAGCTTTTGTATTAACTTTCGTTTGAAACGAGGTAAATAAGTATCTCGTTATACTTTAAATTTGTCTACTGACTTTCGTGTAAAAAATTCAAAACGACGTGATTACCGCGAAGCCGGCGGAGAAGCAGCAAAGCAAACAGGAACGGGGAAGAGTGGGTTTACTTATTTATCTTCTTCGTCTTCTTCTTCCTCTGTCTATTGCCTCTTTCTCGCGAGGAGAAAGAACCGAGAGAGAGAGGGAGAGAGAGAGAGAGAGAGAGAGAGACCAAACACAGAGAGAGGACATTTAATTTTCTACAACATCGCGTTTTTTCGCGAACTCTCGACGGATTTTGATTTACACGAAGAAAAAAAAAAAAGACCGCGAATTAATCGAGCAACACACACACACGCACTTTGTTCGCGCTCCTTATCTCTTTTCTCGCCACCCATCTTCCGCTCTTCCTAAAGCGAGCTAAAAAAAAAATCGGTTCGACACGGTTTCTCATCCGGCGCGTGAATTCGACATTTACAATCGATTGCGCATTGTATCACGTGACAATTTCGTTCTTTATAACATTTGAACGGTGAGTAAAAAAAATAAGGGTAGTCTCGAATTTGTACAGACGCGCGCCACGTCGACCGAGAGAATCGGGAGAGAAAAAAAAAAATTATTTCAGAGTGAAAACATGGAGAAGAGCACCATCGTGCGCGGGATGACAGAAGGAAGAAGCGAGAAGGTGGATCCGTGTTTATTGCTGCTTTTTCGGCGAAAGACGAAGAGGGAGGCAGAGTCTTCTCTCGCGTCGCGCTCCTCCCGATCGCGTGTCGGGATAAAAAGAACGTGGGGCAATTTTAAAGGGGCGCGATCGAATTTCTCACAAAAGAATTCACAAAAACACGCTCTCTCGCCTTCGGTCGCTCTCTCTCTCTCTCCCTCGTTCCTTCTCTCCCCTATGACGCATTCGTACAGAATCCGACGACACACATACGGCGCATGCACCGGAAAAACCACGAGCGTTCATCTCCCGACCGCGTTAACCGTGTGCGTGTATGCGTGTGTGTTCTCGCACACCGGGTCTCCCCCGTCGAGATACGACCGCTCGTCGTCGTCGTCGTCGTCGTCGTTCTCTGAATACGCATCTATTCGCAGTTGCAGACACAGAGAAGAAAAATAAAAATTACAGAAAAAAAAAAAAAACACGAACGGCGATGACGCGCGCGACCGATCCCCGACGATCAATCGCGCGGCCGAGCGCGTACGTCGACAAGGGGGACCGGACTCACACGTTTCCTTCGAAGCGAAGTTGAGCGCGCCCCGAGGTCGAGGACGTGTCGTCGCCGGGGAAACTTTTTTTTTTTTTTTTTTTTTTTCAGAGAACAGAGACTCTTCACGAACAAGAAACTACTATACGTGTATGTATGTTACATACATCGACGACGACGATAATGTAACGTCGTCGTCGTCGTGTGCGATATCTCGCTCCGCGATCGCGCGCACGGACTCTCTCCTCGCGAATTTCTCCCCCCTGAGAACGAAATTCTACGACGATTTCGCGTTTCCTCGTCGACGACGTTACGTTAATTTATCTCGTGAACGCAGAAGAACGCCCGGAGGTGGCGGATGCGGCGTGTGTTTTATTTTTTCTTTCTCTCTCTCTCTCTGTCTCTCTCAACTATATTCTTGTATTCTACTTTAATTGTATCCACGTCGCAGGTTGCGCGACGTGGTATCGCGGCGGTATCGGGGCGGCCAGGCGGACGACGGATCGATCCGTGTATTAACTCGCGTGCGTCTCTCGTCTCGGCATCGATGCGGCGAACACAGAGAGAGAGAGAGAGATTCTTTTTTTCAAAACGCGTCATGTTTGTTGTCTATCCTCGTCATCGTCGTTGTCGTCGTCGTCGTCGTCGTCGTCGTTCGCGCTCCACCTTCATCGTCGCTCCTTTACCGCCGCCTCCTACCGCCGCTACCGCCACCGCGCGCCGTCACCTTCTCGTTCCTCTTCCCTTTTATATACCACACGGTTCGTTACACGGTTTTACCCCGACTAGGTGCTCGGCGAGAGAAGCGCAAAACCGCTCCTCCCGCACGCTCAGGTGATTGATTAAAATTACCTGCTTTTATCGCGTCGCGTACAAGGCATACACTGGTCACTGTATTTTAAGGCACGGTGCACTGTGCGTCCCAATCCTCGGGCTCGCGAAAACTAGCCGCGATAATCCGGAAGCGCGAGCGCGAGTCACACAGGATGTCACCGAGGGCGGCCGGGCACTGAACGAACAGATGGCGCTCGCGCCCGCGCGCCACCCCTACGAAAACGACCGACGACGACGTCGCCGCGCCACCATCCCCCCCCCCACCACTTTTCCGTCACACACTGTCTCTCCCTCCTCGCCAGCACCTCCCTGGTGCGCAGCGATTTCTCCTCGCCACGTCCTCCTCGAGAAGGGCGCTCGTCGACGTCGAAGGGTTGGTTGTTCCTCTCCCCCTCCTCGACCCCCCCTCTGTTCCTCGCATTGTAGATAGTAGTAAACTTTCGCGAAGGATTTACGTGTAATTTTTCGGAGGAAAGTGATCGATACGCAATTTTCGCACTTGTGTTTTTCTCGCACCCCCCCCCGAGATGATTTTTCTCGCACCCTTCGCGCGTTACGTATATATTTAGATCGCGTAGGACAGTTTTTTTTTTTTATTTCACGGTCCGGATGTGATGCGTGAACTCCGTTTTATCCGTGTTATTCATTAAGGGGGGGGAATCGCGCGAAAGACACACGTAATACACCCCGCGATGAAATTCGCACCGTATATGCGGGTACAATCGAGAGAGAGGATACGCGCGCGCGAGCGTATACCCCCTATCTTTTTCAGATTATTTTTCAAGCTTTTGTGTATTCTTTTATGTTATGCACAACGATGAGATATCGATTACAGAGATATATATTTTTTCTGCATTATATCGATATATGTATATATAGATATATGTATATATCCTTTCGCGAGAGAAATAATGGTCCTCTCGCGTCAATCGCGTCTGAGACAAAAAGGAGAAAGGTCCCCCCGTACACACACACACACATATAACATTCGCGCACACAAATGACATTTATCGCGCGCGCGCGCCAACCATTGTTTTTTTCCATATTAAATTCCGCTCGTTATATTTATCTTTTACATTCTCATAATTTTTTATCTGTTTAAAAACATGTTCGATATTTGGAAAAAAAATACTATAAAAAAAATTATACACGAGTATAAAATATTCCTATGCGCATATGCGCGCGTATAGTTTTTAATTTTTTGCATATAGGTACGTTATATTCGCGTGGTTTTTTGTTTTAGTTTTTTTTTTTTTTTTTTTTTAATGGAAAACTTGGCTTTTTTTTACACATAAGCGCTAAATAGGAATAAAAAAAAATATCCTGATGGTAAAACGAGTTCGTTTGTTTGTTTTTTTTTTTTTTTTTTTTTTTTAAACACTTTTGTTCATTTTTTATTTTTTTTTTTTTTTTTTTTTTTTGGTTGCATTTTTCAAACGAATTTGCGTATTCCGCGTGTGCCAATAGCTTCAATTGTCAACGTTATGAAAAAGACATGGAATCAGTAACGACAGAAATAACGTTTTGTTTCTATGGCGCGAGGCGAGTGTATTTTCAGTAAAAATAAAATTAGTTCCCCGCGAACTCGCGGCAAAAATCGATAATCGGTGACCGAATATATATTTTCGAAAATGTACGTTGTGGAAAAGTTCACGTTTAATATTCTCTCGCGAACGCAAGTGTTTGTTGCAACTGTCTCGCGATTTGCATCGAATCTCTACGCTTACGCACAAAAAAATGATTATATACGTTCTTATTACACTCGTTGTCCGTATTGTGTTCTTAATAAAGTATGGATTTTCTTGTAATTTCTCATCTTCCTCTCATATTGTTTTTTTGCGAGTTATTAAAAGACATTGTCTCTCTTTTGTCATCTTTATTATCGCGTTATCTTTTAAACATTGTTAATACGCCTTTCTTCCCACAGTTTTCATTCTCATTTCCTCTCCCCCATTATTCGTATTTATTTTACTTTGAAATATTTTAAGTTTAAAATATCCTTCTAACGACATTTCGCGCGCGCGCGAGCACTTCTGTTCTTCAAGTGATTTTACGGGGGAGAGTAAAATGTCTCTTTAAACAATATTACAAATACAATATTACAGATTGCAAATATAATGTAAAGATGAAATTTCGGAATAATTTAAAATAAGGAAAAAGATTTATTTATTTACGACCGATTTCTTCATACCTTTCGATAGCTATCCTCTGGATAAATTCCTCTGAGAATAAGGAGAACCAATTTTGGGAGATATCTTCTAGATAAAGTTATCGAAAACTTATCTAGAAGTGAAAAAATTGGCTTGTTAGTTTGTTCTCTGTGATATTTTGCATAGTTTGCTATAACGAACGTACATTCTTACCTTATTTTGTGATTCGTTTCGTTTTTTCTTTGTCACTGTGACGCAAAAATACGTGTTGTATTTATTATACACGTATGAGAGAGTAGCGCGGAACAGAATCAGGTGCGAAAAGTAAACACGACTCTCCGTGTTTCCAGTGTACACCACCGAGCACAGCGAAGCGCTCGAAAACAGTGAGCGACAACTAAACCGCGTGGTCGGAATTATACTTTTTTCGGCACGAACAACTTCGCGTTCACATGAAAATAGGTCTTTTGAAAATGTGCCGATTCGGCTCTGTTAAAATCGCCAATCACTCGATAAAACTCCAAAATTCTCTTCGCGCTCCGGCCAATCAGAAAATTTACGCAACCGATGAAATAAAATAATTCCGAAGTTCGCCGATCAGTACATATAACCCTATTCTATTTCTGTACATTATGATTATGATTTTAAGTATCGAGGAATTTCATGAGAACTCGATAGTCTAGTCTAATGAAAAAGTTGATACGCGTAAACAAAACTCTCTGGGAGAAACGTATCTATTTTGGGAGAACATTTTTTTAATAACGTAGAGAAGAGTCGACGATGTGCGTACTTATTAACTTATTTGTCCTCGTGTCAAAATTTATTGTCGAAAATTTAATTCTTTTCCGTCAATTTTTTTTTACACGCAAATGTTTTTTTCAGATACTTAACTGTTCGGTTGCTGGTAATTTGTCTCTCGCGCAACCATGGTTTGCGAGAAGTGCGAGAAGAAATTGGGCAAGGTTATCACCCCGGACCCGTGGAAAACCGGTGCGAGGAACACGCTGGAGAGCGGAGGTCGTAAAGTTGGAGAGAACAAGGCTCTTTCAGCGGGGAAAGCGCGATTCAATCCCTACACCACAAAATTCGAGTGTTGCAGAATATGCAGACAAAAGGTTCATCAAGTCGGATCTCACTACTGTCAGTCCTGCGCTTACAAGAAAGCTATATGCGCTATGTGCGGCAAAAAACTAATGAGTACAAAAAATTACAAACAGTCGGCCACTTAATTGTTTTTTACATACGCTAGGACTAGATACTTATATTGTATAAAACAGTGATGTGTGCAACAAACGGGCAAGCAAACATTTAATTGGCACAATTGTCGAGAATTTAACTTAATATTAACTTGTATGCGCATAATATGTTTGCTTTAATTATTCAAACAGTATTAAATCTATTTCTTTTGTTAGACAATACAATTTCACAACATGTTTCAAAGCTTTGTATATGAATACGTGATACGAACAAAACATTTAAATCCTATTTCATCTGTTAGACGATACAATTTTACAATATGTTTCAAAGCTCGTATACAAATATGTGATAAACAAAATTACTTGTGTGTGTGTGTGTGTTAAACAATACTAAAGTCAAATTTAAAAACCTCGTATGTGAGCAAATATATATGCAGACTTCCGATAAAAAGGTTATTTGCTTCGAATATTATGTTGTCAAGTTTATATTTCAAGCATTTATTTTTTGCAACTTATTGGAAACGTTTTAATCTTTACACACGAGCCTTTAGTTTTGTTGAAATAAATATTATAATAAAGTTTATATTGTGTTTCACTGAAGTCTTATAATTGTTCATTACTGTATTCACGTATTATATTTTTTAAGAAGAATATATCACGCAAAAGGATACATTTTTTCCGGTAAAAAGTTTATGTCTAAAAATATACACTTTATTCATTGAAAATTTATACATTCTGTTTTCGCTAACAAATTATAGACAATAAAATCTATGTTACCAACGTGTTAATGTTTTGAAATAAGTTATTTTACAATAAAAACGTACACACACAGAAAGACTCGACGACATATATGTATATATATATATATATATATATATATAACTTGTATCAGTTTTTAACAATAATATTTTACTTGCCAGTTTGCTGTGATAATACATTCATGTGTGTGTGTGTGTGTGGAAAAACGTTTCTTTTTCAACGACGTAGTGAAATTTGAAACAAAAATTTGTTCTGCAAGTTTGGGGGGACGGGTGTTTACATTGGAAAATTATTAGCCAAGTATACACATTGGATAATAACAATACAAAAAAGAAACAAGATGCAATTGTTGCAATAATCTCACACACACGTACACGCGCACAAAATAAACGTTCTACATGTCAAAACTGAGTACACACTCTCTCTCTCATACATGTTTACACATATAAGTTAAAGTTTTGCACACAGTAATCATTTGAGCACGTTTAAAAAGTGAATATTTTAATTAGGCGCAAAATTTTTTATTAGTTGCGTTCACTCTGTGCAACTCCGTACGGACAATACTTGTGTATATAATATATACGCGTGCGAACATTTAAATTATAAAGAGCTACATACATATATATCTGGACGTTAGTAAGTTTATCTCTCCATCAAAGATCTAAATTTATACATTTTATCTCACTTACACAATAGACGCATAATACGCAGCACAATAATAATACACTTGCGTTATTTGATTATAACAGATCTTATCAACTTAATAAATATTTGCGTTACATAATGGACGATATCGATCTCTTTTTTTAAATAACTTTTGCTTTCAAGTCATAAGCGAATTGTGTATATATTCAGACTGCGAAGAATAAAATGGCAACGATGCAACTCGTATTTTTTAAGTTATCTCTTTGTAAAAATAATCAAAATTATTCGAAACGTTAGAAATCACATTTGTTCGCATATTTGACATTTAAATGCAACCATTTTGGTTTTAATCCCCGTAACACATGTAATACACAAATAAAGCATATATTGTACATATGTATATTCTCAAAAGTGTATAGTATATATATGAAAAAAACATGTACATATATATTTGCATAAAGATACAAAAATTATGTGACCCTCAGGAGAGCTATATTTAGCGTAAAATATGCGCAATAAATACGGAAAATTATAAAATCAACAAAAATACTACGTATTCAATCCTTCACACGCCATGTCTAATAAATCCTATTTTGTTTTCAAAACTTCAGAAAATCAAGTAGAAGACAGTTTAGTTTTTGTTCAACACATGTTTAAAGTGCTTTTTAATTTCAATTTTTATTTTTACTCGACGAAATAAAGACACTCTAATATTGTTCGTAAAGAATCATAATCAATTGATGTTTTATTTGTTAAAAAAATTAATTTTTTCTCGCCACAGGCATGCAAAAGACTAAAATATACGTGACGATATAATGCTGTTTTTATTACAATTGTCAGACAAAAATTATGATTACGTATATAATTGTCTTTTTTCATCGTGATATATTTAGTAAACAAGTTCTAAGAATATATATGTATAATATTAAAAATATATATAATTCTATATATA